CCCCCAACCCCCCTATGACTCTAAGTGAACTGGTAAAACTGCATTTCTTGATCCTCTTCCATTCCCAAATGAAAAAAATCTTTTAATTCTACTACTACTACTACTACTACTACTACCTTCACTAGGACTAACATTAGGAACTTGCCTTTGCTGCTGCATAATCTCTTGAACTGCTACGTAAAGTTGTCGATCCGACGCTGAATCCATTGAGAAAGATCTCCTAATTGGTTGAATTGTGAATTCTTCATCTTTCTTCCTATTTATGTCAATGCATTCATCTCCCATACTTGAAACATGACTCAAATTTTTGACTTTCTTTTTTGGTATGTTTGGTTCAATTTTTCTTGGAGAAGGACTAAATGAGAAATTCCCTATTTCTATCACAACATAGTCTTGATCTTGAGGAGTGATGATTTGATCCAATGGGGAATTTGTTGTATTTTTTGATAATGAGATGCTAGTTCTACAAAGTGGACAATTTGTATTATTTTGTAGCCATATGTCAATACAATCAATGTGAAAAATATGGGCACAATTTGGAATGACTCTTAGCATTTCATCTTCTTGAAAATCATTCAAACAAACAACACATTCACAAGAAGTTGTTGTATTTTCCAGTAGTAAATCATCTTTTTTCTCTTCCCTTTTCTTGTATTGGAAAACGGGGATTGATCGAATCACTGATTCGTTCAGTCCCCGATTTTCCACTGCTTGTGAGTAAACCGTTAAAGGGTCTTCAATATTTCGACTTCTTGAAAATGAAAATGGCCTCAAAAGATCAATCCTTTGCCAATTCAAGCAACATTTGATGGCAAAAACATAGTAAGTGACTAGCAAGAAAATAGTAGCAAAAATGCCTATAATAGCTATGGCAATAATTGGAAAACTAGAATGAGAAGAAGAATGCAAATTAATTGGAGGACTTTTCATGGGAGAAATTGATTCTAAATCCATGTTGTTTGAGAACTCGTATAATTGGCAATTTAATGTATGCTATGCACTGCACTAGGCCTAGTATTGCTTAAAGAGGTGTCAAAAGAAGATATGGGAAGGTTTGTAATTTTCAACACTGAATAAGATGACGGACCAAAGTCCTATTAGAAAAAGGGTCAAATTTTGAAGAAACTTTGGGAGGGTATTTAATGACAAGAAACAGAAGTATTACTAGAGGAGATATCAAATGAATAAATGAACATTTATATATGAGTTTCAGCAAATATTTTAAGGTGAGAAGCAGATGGAAGTGTGAACATAGAGGTGTAGCTGTTGACTGTTGTCTCTTTCCCCAATAAGAAAAATCTTAGTTGGCAAAAAAATATATTTTAATTGTTTATTTCTTGATCGCAGGAATTTATATTAGTAATCATATAAGAATATGATCGGACGGATGAGATTTCTTTTAATTAGAAGTTTCTAAGTTTCAGCTATGAGAATATAGAAATTTTTGTTAGAGTACTATCTTAAATGATTTCGTCAATACTTAAAAGGGTAGCTCAGGGCATAAAGTATTCCGCTTTCGCGCAGGGTCCGAGGAAGATCGCACCCCAAAGGGTGTGATGTAACAACCTACCATAATACAAACATAGTGGGCTCGAACTCGCGAGTCGTGACCTATAGGCCATACAGATACATTTTTACCGATGGTCCAGATTCCCCTTCAAAAAAAATCAAAATAAAAATACTTGTGGCATATAATTTTGACATCGCAACCTTATGTATCGAAAGTCAAACCTTTAGGAATAAGACGAAAGAATTCTTGAAAGTTTTTATATGATATAAGAAATTTTGGTAGGGATTGTTTCTTTCTAATGGATCTTATGTAATAAAGTTGAATTAGTCAGATTCCAATATAAATAATGAAACCAACACATCATTTGTGGGTTTGCCTGTTCAGTGTTGACTGATAACCCTAGGTAGAAATTATATGATTTTTTTTGTTGAATTGTTGTCACACATCAAAGGAAGCTGCAACTGCTATGAAATTTCTTAATTTTTCAACGTTTAATAATATTAGATCCATAATCCGCATGATTCGAACAGTATAAAGCCAAAAGTAACGACCTTTCTCTAAATATAATGATTTTTTTGGTATTTTTCTGAAAAAAGGAAAAAGAACGAAAGTAAATGTTAACGCGGTGTACTTTTTGACAACTTTATGACGTCTTGTGTTAGTCCTATATTCACATTTGGTGATAAATATAATGAAATATTAAATTATACTTCCTTTGTCCAATTCATATTACATACTTTTTTTTCATCTGTCTGAAAAAAAAAAAAATACGTACCTTTCTATATTTAGAAGTAATTTAATGTTAGACTTTATATTTTATCCTTAATAACATGATTTTGTAGTCACATGTATGATATGTCTATAACATGTCTTAAGCTATAAGTTTTAAAAATTTTTTATTTTTATTTTTTAGATTTCGTGCCTAATCAAATACGATTACAAAAAATACAAAGGAGGTATCATTTAATCGGTAAAATATTAGATTTGTTATGAAATAAAAGCAATTTAGTAAAACATGAACAAGAAATAGAGATAGCGAGAAGGAAGAGATTTTCTTCTTCAATTGTGTGTATTTTTCTATCTATTACAAGGCCTTTATATAGGCATGAAAAGTGAAGAAAAATATGTCATTGAATATGTCATTAAGCATTTGAGATGAAGATCATGGAGGAAGAGTAGACATCCACTATAATTTAATTTTTCTTATAACACTCCCCATTGGATGTTCATAGATAATGTACCTCGTTAAAACCTTATTAGGAAAAACCCTAAAAAAAAAAAATCTAGTGAAGGAAAAAGAGTACACATGTTTATAAATACGCCTTTTGGTTGCCTCGTTAAAAACTTTCAAGGAAAACCCAGTGGGACAAAATATTGTAAGAAAAAAAGAGTACAACGCGTATTAACTCCCCTTGATTAGAGCATCAATTCATATCCTTAAGCCTTCGCATTCCAATCTTGTACACTAGTTTCTTGAAGGTTGACGTCGGTAGAGATTTGGTGAACAAATCAGCTATATTATCTCTTGAACGAATATGTTGCACGTTGATATCACAATTCTTTTGAAGATCATGTGTGAAAAATAACTTTGGTACAATGTGCTTTGTCCTATCTCCTTTTATGAATCCTCCCTTTAATTGGGGTTGCATACTTCATTGTCTTCATACAAAATTGTGGGTAGTTTGTCACGCTTCAAACCACATTTGTCTCTAATAAGATGTATTATAGACCTCAACCATACACATTCTCGACTTGCTTCATGAATAGCAATTATCTCAGCATGATTTAGATGAAGTAGCCACGATTAATTGCTTAGTCGATCGCCAAGATATGACAGTGCCTCCACATGTAAACACATAGCCTGTTTGAGATCGAGCCTTGTGTGGGTCAGATAAATACCCAGCATCGACATAACCAACAAGATCGGGATTGCAATCATTGCCATAAAATAAGCCCATATCGGTAGTCCCTTTTAGATACCGCAATATGTGTTTGATTCCATTCCAATGTCTCCTTGTAGGAGCAGAGCTATATCTTGCTAGGACATTAACTGAAAAGTTATGTCAGGCCTTGTAGTGTTAGCAAGATACATCAGTGCACCAATTGCACTAAGATATGGTACTTCGGACCAAGAAGCTCTTCATTATTTTCATGAGCTCGGAATGGATCTTTATTTATATCGAGGGATCTCACAATCATCAGGGTACTCAATGGATGTGCTTTATCCATATAGAATCGCTTTAAAATCTTTTTAGTGTATGCTGATTGATGGATAAAAAATCCATCTTTCATATACTCAATTTGTAGACCAAGACAAAATTTTATCTTTCCAATATCTTTCATTTCAAATTCTTTCTTTAAACAGTCTACTGCTTTAGAAAGTTCACCAGATGTTCCAATGATATTTAAATCATCAACATACACAGCGATTATAACAAATTCAGATCCAGATCTTTTTATAAAGATACAAGGACAAATTGAATCATTCTTGTACCCTTCTTTCAACAGGTACTCACTCAGGCGATTATACCACACGCGCCTTGATTGTTTTAATTTGTATAAGGATTTTTGAAGCTTTATTTAATAAATTTCTTGAAAACCTTAATATGCTTCAGAACAATTTAAATCCTTCGATGATTTTCATTATACGCATATCAAGTTTTTCATGTATTGCCAGATTAAAACCTAAAATGACTACATCCACCACATGAGAACATGTCTCTATATAATCAATGCCAGGATATTTACAAATCTTCTTGTGACACAAGTTGTCTTTATGTCTATCGACTTGACCTTTTTTTTCCGCACAAGAACACATTTATACCTCCACTGGCTTTATACTTTCAGGTATTGAGACTATCCGTCCAACTTCATATTTTTAGGTGAAATTAATTTTTATTGCGTATTTTTCATTTGGCCAATCATTTATCTGTCCAAATTTTATGAAAGATTTGAGCTCAAGATCCTCGTTAATATTAATAATATTGAGCGCTACATTATATTAACAATATCGTCGACAATCATTTTATATCAGTTCTATTATTACCCAATAAAGACATAACTTATTGAGATCTCTTTATCTTATTATTTTCAGGTACCTGAGCGTCTCCCATGAGGTCTTATGGAGTGTTATGTCGTGGTGCTCTTCTAGAGCACTTGCCTCCTTATTATGACAATCTCGAACATTTTCTTCTCTCCTTCTTCAAGGAGTTTTATCTTTGGAACCGATTAGTCTATTATGCTTCATGCATGCTATAGATTCTATTCATTATGAACTTTATTTTATTTGGAGCATTAGTAGGTGGAATATGACATTTAGCTTTGGGTCAGCAAATACGCCTGGCAATATTTTGCAAATGAATTATCACTTGAACTTCAAGTTCACATTTTCTCGTACGAGGATCTAGATGTACTCATAATAATTAATTACATGCATTAATTTTTCAGCTGCCCATTTTCTCCCCCTATTGTTGGGATCACCAACACATATCCCCAGCCTTATTGGGGATCCATCTTTGTGCATTGTGGTGGAACAATTAAATCATATAGCACATTCATATTTTTAGATGTAAATTATTTAGTTCCTGACCCTGAACCGATTGTGATAGGGAGAACTTATCATAATTTGGCTAGATGCGTACAAGTGCTGCTGTATATTAAATAATACATCACATACCAAATTTTATTTTGGCAGTTTTATTTTCATAACTAATGGTTTAGCTATAATTGGAGGCATACAATTTCTGCTAAATCAACTTGGATTTAAATCAGCATTATCAAGATAAATCATCATAATTTATATTCTGAAACTATGCTCTAATAATTTGAGCAATCAATCTTGCAAAAGTCAAACTGCAAGTTGATAACAAATGCACATGTGATCATATAATAGATGCATCTATTAAAATTATATAATAGTAAACGGTCCACATGGCAGGTGACTGAGCCCATATATTTATCACATTTTATTTGTTCTAGAAATCAAGGGATTCAATCCCAACCTTAACTGGTATATCACGAGAATAAGTAGCACAAGAGAATTCTTGAAGAATCTTCTATTTCTTCAATATATGCCAATGTAATTCTCAATTAATTTTTCGCATCATAATTGAACCGAGATGGTCAACCGGTTATGCCAACTAATATTTATTTCAGTAAACCTCTAGTTTACTTGTGACATATGATTCTATCATCATGCTTATATTTGTGTAGTACAAATAGAAAGAAAATCAGGTAACCTTTTATTATTACCCGGTGTGATTAAAGTAATATGAAGATAACAATTTCACTCATACGGGTAGTAACAAATTAGTTCTTTCAGAGATTTTAATTGATTTTGTACTGCAAGATCTTTTGTCACACCATCCATATGTTGAATGTCACCTTCATGGATAAAATCATATCATAATAATTGTCATGGTCAAAATCATCATAAGCAAAATTATTTCTTACTTTAATTTTGCCTTTAATAACCTTTTATAAGAGATGGCAAAATATTTTCGGTGGTATGTACGCGACCAATAACATATTCATGTAACCACACTGTAATGTTCATTATCTTTCTTTTTCTCAAACCTCCCAGTAGAGGTGAGTTATTGTATTTATTCAACCATGCATAATTAC